CTCTCTCTCTCTCTCTCTCTCTCTCTCTCTCTCTCTCTCTCTCTCTCTCTCTCTCTCTCTCTCTCTCTCTCTCTCTCTCTGGATTCATTATTTATTCTTAGAATACAAAAAAAAGGGGGTATATACAAATAATTCCGTTATTGAGCAAGTTTTATTCGCAGGTATTTTTGTTCTCATAATGCTGGAATCCATATGATTAGTTTACCAATGGTTTCTCAATTATTAGAATATATCAACTCACCAAAAGGTAAGAAAATAAAACCACATTTCTACATATTTCTACATATTTCTATATATCTTCCACAAATATTATTAATCTATGATCTCTATAAAGATCAATAGCAAAAATAAATAAAATATTATACAAATATAAAATAAAATTATATTCGTACAATATATAATTAAAATTTATTTTCTTTCATTTAAATATTAAATGTTTCTAATAAATTTTTTTTTTTTTTTTTTTTTTCTAGAAAACGAAGATGCTCGTTTACCATCACTCTCGAATCAATCCAGTTCGCAATATTTAATCTGTAGAAGAACTAAACATACACAAGCAAATGAATCTACTCCAATTCTTGGATTCGGACTTCTTCAAGATCCATGTGTTTTGATAGCTTTGTTACACACCGGTGACATTGTTGTCCGTTGTGTTATCGATCTTTATTATTTTCCAAAAATCGAACCTCCAGAACCTGTAATTGATAAAAAAGAAAAAGTGAGTAATATCATTTATATTGCCAATTTTTTTCAATTATTCCATTAATAAATTTCTGAAAAACAATTTTTCATAAAAGACTAATTATTACAGTTAATACATTATTAATAAGTTTAATTTTTTAACAATTAAAAAACTATAAAATCTTCAAAATTATTTAAAATTTGTTATAAAATTGATAGATGGAATAAATAACATAAAAATATAAAAATATCGAATATGAAAAATAATAAATATAATGTATACATATTATATTATATCAATTATATCAAGTATTCCATTGTTATTATTATTATTATTTTTTTTTTAATTATTCTATATTATTTATTCATTGATATTTTCCGATTTGTTTATTTGTTTAGCTCAAATAAAAATATCCGTTCAAAAATACTGAACAAAAATCAATTTTCATTTACTTTTTGCATTATACAATTCTTTTATGTATGTTTGAAAAAAAGGGAGTTGTAACCATATTTCACCAAAGAAAGAAATTAAGAAAATAGATTTAAAAATAATAAGAATAAATATATATTCTTCATGTATTCTTCAAATTCTTCTCAAAAATATAGTTATTAACATTTAATTATTATTTCAATATGCTTAAGTACTTTTTTATGCATCTTTTCTGAATAAAAAATAAAAAAAACATTCTGATTTAAATTTATTATAAAAAAAGAAATCAAAAAGAAAAAAAATTATTCGTTATTTTATAATTAATTATTGTATCACATAGAAACTATGATACATAAAGACATAATTATACTTCTTAGCAAATGTGTATATATATATTTTGTAATTGTTCACCGGTTTTACGCTTATTTTTAATAAAAAGTCAAGAATTTTTATAAAAAAGACATGGAAACAAATTGTCGTGCCGGAATTTGATTGAAAAAAGATTGAAAAAAACTATTAAGAGAAAAATAATATTATTTTTCAATAATTAACTAATAATTAACATTTTATTATCCAAAGGTGAATAAAGAGGAATTCGACGTGTACATAAAAAAATTATTAAAACATGAAACATCACAACCTCTCATCAAAGTTGGCTCGAAATCTCCACGAGAGAGTTTGCAGGTATTAAACGAATAAAGAATTATATTAATTCAGATAAAAACTAAACAAATGTTTTTTATTATTAGCTTTTATATCATGCGACGGATATTTTTCGTAAAGAACATTTTGTTAAGCATGATACTGTAAGAGAAGAAATCGGTAAAAAGGTGCGTGCGTTGAAAGTAATGAAAATCCAATTACTTAAAGATCTGGAGACTTTAATAGAAACGAAAAAAGAGTTGCATCAAACTGCTGAACGATTGGCTGAACGTTACGAAGATATTAAAGATGAACAAGAGAAATTAGCACAAAAGTAAATATTCTATCTTTTATTTTTAATTTCGCATTAGAAAATATTTGTGATATAATTTGAATTGGGGGGAGGGATTGGAGAGAGGATGCGAGAAAAAGAGAAAATATATTTTATTATTATAAATCTATGAATTTGTAGAGCAAAAGAGGTATTACGATTAGTAAATTACAAGGAACCTTCTATGACTCCTATAGAAAGAGCAGAAGCAGAAGAATTAAGAAAAATGGAAATGAAAATAGAAGTAATGAAAATCAGACTTTTGGATTTAAAAAAAAAATCAGAACAAATTGGACATACAGAGAATAATGAAAGCATTGAAGATAAAAAAGAAATTGTTTTTAAAGATGATCAGGAAAAAATAATCAAAAATACTCTTGGACAAATGTACGTATCTTTTTTGTTTTATCTTTATAAAAATATATTAATTAAGAATGTGAATGATAAAATCTATTTGTTTTATTTGTTTTACAGGGCAAAAGATATAAAAGAATTAATTATGGAAGTTAAAAAATTCGAGGAAGAAGTGAGTATTTAAATCGAATGATAAAAAAAATATTAATGCTAAATAATTGTAAAAATTTTACTATTTTAATTTAAAATATAAGATTTCTTACAATAAAAAATGATTTTATTTGCAAAATAATTTATTATACTAGCTATACATTTGTATAGTATTATTTAGCCATATTATTAATGTAAAGAATACTTCCAAGAACTTCTCGCGTTGAATATCTTTTTTAAATATTAATATAGAATTTATTTAGAACATATCCATATATCAGTTTTAATAAAAATAAAATCAACATTAAACAATAAAACATATTATATAGATAGAATATCCTTATGTTATTTCAATTTCAAATAAATTTATCGAATAATGCAAAAAAAATATACAAAAATGAGAAAGATAATAACTTAAAAAAATCTTAAAGTAGAATAAGTCAGTGTTTAATAATAATTGAATAAATGAGCAAAATATTTCTTTATAATATTTTTATCATTATGCATTGGTTGAAAAGATTAAAATTGTAATTTCAAAAATTATTTCTATATAATTTTTAATAATAGAAAGAAAAAAATCTTAATAATGTATCTGCCTGTTATAATCACATTTCTTTGACCACCAAATATTGCTCAAGGTACAAAAATATAATGAGAAACATCGTTAGAATCTTCCATAACTTTTGACTGCAACAATTTAATTTCGAGCCTCAATTTCTCTTTTTCCATTTCTTGCTTTCGTATCTCATTCGAATAACAGTTCATTTGTAATTTTAACTTGTCCTTTTTAAGTTTTAACATTTCAGTTTCATGATATAATTTTCCTTTCTCTGCGCGAAGAACTGCTAGTTGCTCCTGAAGTAATTGAGCACTAGCTTCATCTGAAAATATTACTTCAGGTGTATCGACGTCTGGTTTTACTGTTGTCGTTGATTTTGAACCGATTATTTCACTCTCAGGTTCACTATCAGGCTCTGCCTCAACATTTGTAGCTTCTTTCATGATCCATATTCTAGAATCTGCAGTTTCATCAAAAGTATTTGATGGTGATTTTACTGGTTGTTGTTGCGATTGAGGTGTAAGAGACCTGATAGTTTGTTGTTTCGGAGATGTAGATGTTCCTTTTACTTTTTCCATATCAGTCGTAGACGCGATAGTTTCAATATCTAAAATTGGCATGTTATTACATCACGAATTTTTTATCCGATATAAATAAAAACATTGTTATCACAAATCAATTCATATTACCTCTAGTATTGGGAGATTGACTACCATCTACAGTATGTGACAAATGATTATTACAATAAGTATTAAATTCTCTTTCATCTACAAAAACAGAACCATCAGCGTTTACGATGGATTCAACAATTACAGATGGATCTCCATCTTGCATTACTAATTCCCCTACAATTTCACCATTTGCTGCTATAATATCCCCATCATTATTTGCCCTTAATAATTCTCCTTCTGTTGTATCAATTTCATCTACTACTTCTTCTTGAGTTAATTGACCGCTGTAGGAATCATCACCGTCATTTCCTTCGCTTACTTCCAATTCGGTTGGCAATCCCTGAAAAATAATTTTTTTTTTTTTTTTAATATATTATTAAATCCTAAGAATTAAATCTTACATCTTGTCCCCAAGGAGATTCTTGTTCCTTTTTCATCCTTTTTATCGTCTGTGCAATTTCATCTTCAGATTCAGAATACATTTTCCTATCATTATTTTTACCTTGCATCTTCTCTATATCATGAATTTTTTTAAACAATTGATATGCTCTCTCAGGTGTTATATTCCTTTTTTGTTTATTGGCTGCTGCTATATTAAATAAATCTTTGGATCTAAGTATTTTGTTTGTTCGTAATCGTACATATTCCTTCAATCTTTTACGATCAATATGTAACTGCATAAGATCTTGTACTTCCTGCTTAATTTCGCCACATAATTTCCTTTCTTGTGGAAGATTCTTAAATAATTCCTAATTAAAAGAAATAAAATAGAATGAAATACAATATATATACATATATATTGAAATACAAAATTTAAATGAATATAATCTTCTTATTATTATTTACCTCTGAAATTTCATGATTATGTTCATTATTGACACTAGTTACCTCTAATTTTGTACCATCTTTTGATGCTCTTAACATAATATGAGCAGGACAATTTGTTCTTATCGATCTAAATGAAACAATGATATTTTATAAATATATTTAAAAATATGTTTATTTATATTTATTTACTTCAAAATAATTATAATAATGATCTAATGTAAATGACGTATAATTTAATAAACTAACTGAGACTGTCTTCTGCCAGCTCCACGAGGTAGAAACTTTTGACCACCATAAATACAAGCATATTTGACCGAGTAATACTTTAAACGCTCGCTAATGGGACGAGCAGTTTTCATATGAGCTCCGCTAACTGTTCTACTATCTCTTCTCCAATAGTGGACTAGGCTACGCTTTGAAAATTTCTCCAATTTATGTTCCAATTCTTCATAACTATCAAACATTTCCCCCAAATGGAAAGATACATCTTCATCTTCCACAGTATTTATATCCATTATAAAAGATACAATTAACAATCTATTTTATAAATCATCATGTATTATTTATTAATCAAGAAATATATATATATATATAATGTGTAAAAAAAGTTATAAGTATTTTATAATTTTCGTGTCGTTTTGTATCGTTACATATTAAATGTCGCAAAAGCGAACATTTGTATATTAAAATAACTAAATTTGATTTTATAATCTGTAAAGACAAAGTACGATATATTAAAAATAAAATGAAGGTTAGAATATATCGGGACAAATAAAGTAACATCATTAAAATTTTTGTTTGCATTATTATTTAATTCGATTTCTATTAATGAAATAAATCTCGCGAATAATACAATTCGAAGAAAAGCATTGTTTTTCTTATTCAAAATTTTAAGGTTAGATTTAAATTTGATTGGCGTGGTAGAAGCCAAGACGATGAAACCGTGAATACAGCCAGATAGATTTACTCAAGAGCCGGACAAAGACAGGCGGGATTTTTTGTCTCCTACTTATTTTCAATCTTTACAGTATGCGACTTACGTCCTATCATATTTTCTGTAGCATTCCTTCTTGCTTTTAATGTTTCATAATATTCAATTGTCACGAAAACATGTAGCTTGATTTTACGCCATTTCTAATAGAGGACAAGTGACTGAACTACGGCGCAACTGTTGTAATTTATTCTCTATTCAAATATTTTTTACATTTCACATAATTAAATCAAAATTAAAATAATTTATTTACTTTTCTCATATAAATAAATTCATCTACAATTTTTTAAATTGATAAAAGTTGTATAAATTGTTATATGACGTAATAACCTATCATTTAACATTATAACAAAATAACAAATTATCCATATATTTAAAATAATACTTGTTAACATGTGTGTGTGTGTGTGTGCGTGTACACATGTATC